GGGTGGGGGGGATAAAAACAAATCTAATGAATGTTTTAAATCTATCATAAAAGAGAATCTGCTTTTCAACCATTCTTTTTAAATTATAATTTATAAAAAAATATATTGAAATGTTGATATGAAAATATATATATACTAAAATTAGTGGTGTGGACATGAAGGTGCGATAGTTTTATTATTTAGTTGCAGTGGTGGGCAGCACCAAACTAAAAATTAGCTCCACTAGCCCTAAAATGCTAACTGAGATATTTAGATCCCCTAATTCTAAAGCACTAACGCACGGAAAATTTTAGTGAAAGCTAATTCTAAAGCACTAWAATAACCCAGTCGACCCATGAACATTCTTCAACAGACAACATAAGTCACATGTTGCCATGTTGCTCTATTAATACTTTTCATTGACATTCTACAGCTGTATTTGAGTTCATATATTGTCACCTAGTGGATAAGTGACACACATATGAACAAAATGTGTGACAGTTTTCACCCTCAGCTGTTAACATTAATGTTGATTAATAAGATTTATAGACCTCAGTTAGAGCTTCTAAATTTAGCCTATAAATTTATCAAGTGCTAATCCACTAACAAATTCTAAAATTTGCAAAAGCCCTAAAGCACTAATCAGGAAATTAGTTCCCCTATTAGTGCTTTGGTGCTTTAGGGGAACTGTGCCCACCACTGTTAAGTTGATTATAATATTTTACAGCTTTTGTATAAGGCTTACAAAAACATTTTACTTAAAACAAAAACATATTACCTTTAAACATCCAATCAAAGTTTAATAGAAAGAGTTGCTAAAACCTTAAAGGAGTTGAGCCTTTTTTTAACCGCAATTTCAAACCAGTTTAAAGGAATGAACGTCAAGTCAAGGGATATGACTGTGGAATAATCCTGATATTGGTGTTAAAACTGATGGAAAAGTTTGTAAATTTAAGAGGATATTAAAGGTTTGATGAAAGAATATGAAATGTGTGTGTTGACTGGTGCCCATATCATTAGTCACTGTACGAAGGGTACGCTGGACAGGTTGCAAGTCCATCACAAGGCAAACAATCACTCACTCTCTCACTAAATACCTAGGAATTTAGAGAACCAATTAACCTARCATTCATGTTTTTGGTCTACAGGAGGAAGCCAGAATACCTGGAGAAAACCCATGCATGCACAGAGAGAACATGCAAACTCTACCCAGAAATGTCCCTAAACTGGGATTAGATCCAGCGACTTTCTTGCTGAGGCATCAGCTCTAYCAACTGAGCCACTATGCAGCCAATTGTAAATAGATTTTGTTTGTTTGTCTTGTTTGTTTTAATGAATGAATGAATAAATAAACAAATGTAGAAATAAATAAATGAACCTCAGCTTTCAGTCTACTTGTGTCCACTTTCAGTCCACTTCCAGTTTCAGTCCACTTTAAATTGTGCTGAAGAGTGGTGCCAACAAGCAGGGAGAAAGGAAAGTGCTAGCTGCATGAAATTTGAAGGCCGTACACATGGAGGGATGTGTGACAATTAGGCTCAAATCATCCMTAACCAGCCCATAAAAAGATCGCTAWRAATCAATATGAAAATGAATATGAGACATAATTTGAGMSAGCAAAGCTTGCCGCATTAAATTTGATGTCAATAAATGATGTTTACAATAATTTTTATKTGAGTCACTGTTAGTGCTGGGCGGTATACCGTTTTGTACCGAATACCGGTTTAAATAGCKGAACGTTTCGTCGCGGCCACCAGTGAACTGTTGTTTCCCGGGAGACATTTTTTCCTTGCTGCACCGCTATGTGCGTTAGCATGCTAATGTTTGGAGCAGCTAGTT